AACAATGGACAACTTGGGCAACTGATAGGGCGAAGCTCGAGAAGTTCTGGACTTGTGCAGTGAATAACAGGAAGTGGTGCAACATACCTTTGGCTAATCCCTCTGAAGTCCCACCGCCCCCCCTCCATTAATTTCCTTGTGCTATTTCTAGTTGGCAGCCACTGCTCAGCATCTCAAAGAGATGGTAACTGGATTTAGTGGGACTTCTCTAAATCCCAGAGTCATGGTGTCAGTAAACTCTCATGATTCTATTTTCACTTATATTTATCCTTTATTCTCATAAATAATATCAAGACACTCTCTATGTTGAATCAGCTATGGAGGATATTAAAAAAAAATAAACACAAAGCTCTCACTGGATGCATGACGCCCTTCCTTAGGTTGGCTTTTACATTCTGAAACATACATGGAAGAGTGCATATAATGTAAATGTACAGTAAAAAATAATAAAATGAACAGCAATGTACCCTCCACCCAGTTTGAGAAATAGAACATAACAATACCTCTGAATTTCCCTATGTCATGGGTCCCTTCCTAATCCTATCACCTCTTGCCTTTCGGAGGTAACCACTATCCTGAATACTGTTGTATTAATTCCCTTGCTTTTCTTTATGGTTATACCACATATGTATGTATCCTTAAATAATAAATCACTTAATTCCATGAGCTTCTGAACTTCATATGAACTGAATCACATCTACGTGTATGCTTCTGTGACCTGCCCTTTTTTGCTCAACATTATGGCTTTGAGATTAACCTGTGTTGTCATCTAAAGCTGTGTTTTGTTTATTTTTATTGTTGTATTTAATCTATTGTTTGATCTCAATTTTTATATCTATTCTCTTATTGATGGATATGTGGGTTGTTAAATTGTATACACTAAGATTATACATTATACCTTACATTAAGATAGTAAATAGAAAATTTCTAAACAAAATATTTTCAAATTGTTTAATCATATTTCCTTTTTGCCTGAAATGGCTATATGCAATTCAACTGAACGTTTCTCTAATTTGTAAACTGCTCAGGCATTATCATAGCAGTCACTTTGAAAAGATACTAGTGATATGTCGCTAAAAGGGCACATCAGCCACAGATAGACAGAAATATATTCTGTAGTGGGTTGAATAAGTGCTCCCCCTGAAAGTCCATGCCCACCAGGAACATCATTATGTGAACTTATTTGGACCTAGGGTCTTTGCAGATGCAACTAATTAAGATGAGGTCATACTGGATTAGGGTGGGCACTAAATCCAATGACTGGTGTCCTGACAAGAAGAGAGGACACAGAGAGACACAGATGCACGGAGAAGAAGGCCATATGACTATGCAGGCAGAGATTAGAATAATGTAGTTACAAGTCAAAGTATGCTAAGGATTGCTGGGAGCCACCAGAAACTAGGAAGAGGCAAGGAAGGAGTCTTTTCCTAGAGGCTTCAGAGGGAACATGGTCCTGCCAACTGATTTCAGACTTCCAGCCTCCAGGACTGTGAGAGAATAAGTTTCTGTTGTTTTCAGCCACTCAGTTTGTGATCATGTGTCATGGCTGCCCTGGGAAACTAAAACACCCTCCATGAGTAAAGATGGATGAGATGCACCTCATGGAGCTTTGTATTCTAGAAGACCCTGCCTAGTTTCCCAGCTTCAAAACTCTCAAGTAGCTGCGTCTTGGTGGGGCTCCTTGGGCACCAGGATCATGACCTCCTACAACAGTTCCACAGGCTGAACTGCTGTCCACGATGGTCCATCTGCAGTTGGCTGACGGAGTTGATGTCAGGTTGTAGAGCTCCTGTTGGGCTGTACTCAGTGAGTTCAGGCAGTGCTGAGGGGCAGCTGACATTATAGGGCTTGTCCTCTGGAAGGACTGTGAGCCCACCCACTCACTGTGCCTGAGCAGTCCTCCTCAGTCCTGGAAGAGGCCGTATCTGGATGGAGGTGATTAGCCTAGTGGAAGCTGTAGCTGCCCCAAGTCCAGCTGATCACCCCAAGGGTTGACAGGATTTTCACACTGGCTGGGAAGCTCAGCTCTCAGCCAGAAAGCCTCAGCAAGTACCAGTAGGGCAAAAGTTGCCTCCAGTGTTTGAACAAGCACTGTTGGCTCTGTTGGCTCTTATTTTCTTATTTCTGGCCTCTGAAGGAATCCTTTACTTCTCAACAGCTTTGCTATAGATTTTAAACATTTTAAATGTTTTATTTAGCATATTAACTTGTGTTGTACTAGAAGGTTTTCTTTGGACATTTAGTCTATCATTTGAGCCTAGCCACTGAGGGCTAGAATTTAGCTGTCCCTTGCAAAACGGCATTAGTGGTTAACCAAGAATCATATTCTACTGAAGAAATATAGGTATTGCAATCTGTTAGCTGTCCATGTTCATTCTTTAATTCAATAGTCATCTATGTAGGTAAGCCAGTGTACTAGATATCGTTAGGAATCCAAACACAATAGAATCAACTTAAGCCTAGCAGACTATCTATAAATCAGATAAGTATCTGGTAATTTTGTTTATAGTTTACCCATGACATAATTCTGTGTATTAATTTATTTAATTACAAATTTCAAAAAATAAAAGAATTTCCTTCCATTGTTGTTAAAGCAGAAACATCTAGATATGGCTGTAGATTTGATTGATCATAATGTCTAAATTTGGGATTAGTTATGAATTAATCTGCCAGTTACAAAGATATCTGTAACAGGGAATGCCCTTACTTTATTTTTATTGTTTTGAAAAGTTAAAAATTCCTTAATTTTTTACAGGGCAATATACCTGATATAATGAAAAGAAAATGACAAAGCTACAACAGATAAAAGACCTCAGGAATGTACATCTAATTGACACTACATTGCATTAATAAATAGCTGCACTTTTTGCAAACTGTGTCTGTGACAGTCCTGAACAAGAAGGGTTTCCTGTTAAGCTGCAGTACCGTTTCTAACTATGGATCATCATTCCTTCTGTGGCAGATTTTTACAGTTGCTCTAATGCTTTGGGGACGACTGTCTCAAAGTAACCTGTAGTTTTCTTGACAACTCCTTGCTCTCTCTCCTGCTAAGAAATGTAGCCCTTTTCTTCTGAGTTTTTAGAACCTTCTGCTACCATCCACCACTTCCACCACCAGATCCATAACCACCACCATAGGGACTGCCCAAACTTCTTCCACCAAAACTGTCCCCCTTTATGGGTCCATAATTTGATTGCTGTTGCCCACTATAATTTCCAAAATCATTATAGTTCCCAACACCACCATAGTTACCTCCAAAACTTCCTCCTTCATTGTAACCATCATATCCTCCACCACTGCCTCCATATCCACCACCTTGGTTTCCATATCCAGGTCTACCACCACCAGCCTCCTTTCCACCAAAGTTTCCACCATGGCCAAAGTTACCTCCACCACCTCCAAAGTTTCCTCCACCACACATAAATTTGCCAGATCCACCCCCACGACCTCTCTGTGATCCAACAGACTGCATTCCTTGTTTAGAAAGGGGCCTTTTTCACTTTACACTTATCCCCATTAATAGTGCGGTACTTCTGAATAATAATTTTATCAACTGTATCATGATCATCAAAAGTTACAAAAGAAAATCTTCTCTTTTTTCCACTCTGCCTGTCTTCCATAACTTCTATGGTTTCAATCTTGCCATACTTTTCAAAGTAGTTTCTCAAATTATATTCTTCTGTATCTTTTTTTTTAACATCTTTATTGGAGTGTAATTGCTTTACAATGTTGTGTTAGTTTCTGAGGTATAACAAAGTCAATCAGCTATATGTATACATATATCCTCATATCTCCTCCCTCTTGCGTCTCCCTCCCACCCTCCCTATCCCACCCCTCTAGGTGGTCACAAAGCACCGAGCTGATCTCCCTGTGATATGCAGCTGCTTCCCTGTATCTTCTTTAATACCACCAACAAAAATTTTCTTCACTGTTAGATGGGCATCAACCTTGCGTGGTTGAGCACACATTGCTGCATCCACCTCTTCAACACAAGAGTTAGTCACAAAACCAAAGCCCCTGGAACGTTTTGTTTGGGGGTCTCTCATCACCACATAATCTGTAAGTGTGCCCCATTTCTCAAAATGTTCTCTTAAGCTATCATCTGTAGTTTCAAAGCTCCGACCACCAATAAACAGTTTTCTCAACTATTCTGGTTCCTTTGGATCATGGCCCTGCATTTTGAGACTGGACTCACCTCTTCCAAATTGAGTTCAATATCGCCTCTACTTTAAGTGTAGTCAAATAACTTAATTTCATGTAGGCAGCTTCCTTTTTTGCTTGTAGGGAATGTAGGTGTTGGCTCTTGTATTCTTTTTGAATGTTATTTCAAAAGCTATTTCTGTGTACCATCTGGTACACCATTATTCAGCTTCTTTAACAATAAATAGCAAAGTTGTCACTAACCTACACAAATGAGGGCTGTTCCAACTCTGCTTTCCTGAACTTGAGGCACCAACTTGATTAGAGAAGGGAAACTAAAGACTCCACTCTTCTCCCCTACTATCCCTCATCACAGCTGATCAAAGTCCTTTCTCCTGTACAATCTACCAATGGGGGAGGGGTACTGGTTTGCATGAAATTGTACAGTGAGTGATTGAGAGGTCAGTCTCTGAAATTCAAGTCCTGGCTTTGAAACATCCTAGTTGTGTTACTGTGGTAGGCTCTAACTTCAAGCCTGGGTTTTCCTCATGTATAAAACTGGGTGCAGTAGCATGTTTTGCAGGATGAGAGTAAATATTAAATAGGATAATGTATGAAAAGTGATTACATATATTACCTGGCATTAGTTCAGTGTTAAATAATGTTGATATGAAGCTATGACACATGTGGTCCAGTCTTACAGCAGTATAGCAGTCAAAGCCTGGAAGTTGAAAAAAATCTAATATGCTCAGTCTCCTTACTTATACTTAACCAACCCTCTGAAGAGGACACATAGCCTTTAGCAACACTTCTTAAACCCTCTTTGCTTTCACACCTACTCAGTCAGTTATTTGACTCACCTTAAACTCCTGCCCCATAGACAAAGAGCCTCTCCTCCTTTCAGTCCTCCCTCTTCTCCCAATTTTGAATCACCTAATAGCAAGGAAAGACACTTCTCTGGGGAGATCTGAAGAAGAAAATGAGTGGGCAAAATCAAAATTCTTTTAGTGGTTGTTAACCACTGTTTGTTTGATGGTGATAAAATGGCCAACATACCAATATACAAAAACTGCTTTCTCCCATCACATTTTATCAATTCTGATGTCCTTTTAAAAACTGTCATTCATTCACACATTATTGTAAGGTTCTGCAGCCAGAAAACTGAATCACTGACCAATCAGATTCAAAGGACTCGTAGTTTTGATGGTCAGGGGAGCAGGTAATTTTGGAGCAAGATGCTCCAAACACTGAGTGATAATAAGAAAACCATAATACCATTTAAAGTATGATGTACATTTGTATTACACTTTACAATTTTATGAGTGTTTTCACATAAGTTATTTAATCTGATTTCCCACAAAAATCTTGTGAGGTTGGCAGACTGAGGATAATTGTCTCCGTTTTAATAAATGCAGAGACTGTAACATAGGAGATTGACATGGGAGGTGCTGCAGTGAGTGGCTTCAGACAGTCAGAGAGTCAGATGAGAGCCCTGGTCACCCAGGAGGGAGGCCGATGAGGGGCACAGGAAGGGAGGGCCCCTCTTAGCCCTGCCATGGACCCTGAGGAGCAGAGCATCCCATTTGGTACTGATGCCTTAGCTTGTTGATTCTTGCTGTATATCCTTCCAGGCATTTTGTGGCTATCTTATGATGTTGGCACCATAATGGAATTTTATCTGCAAAACACGTTAGCCTAAGAGAAAATTCTATTAACACTTGCCTTTCCTTTCTTCTACTCTGATATTAAAAAAAAAAAGAGTTAAAGAAAAATTATGTTTTTTTTTAAGAAACAGGAAAGATTTTCTTAGGTTGATTTTTAATAACTAAGGATTGTTAAACATGTCTGTTGTGGCTTTCAGAGCACAAGGTACCACAGTCAAGTAAGACCTTTTATCCCCCAGTAGAGAGAAATGGTACATTTTATTCAATACATTAAATTATGTAGACATTAGCCACAACATGTTGATTCAGCTTCACAGGAAATGAAAATTAATACCATCTGTGTGGATAGTGGCTCTACATTACCACAGCACACACTGTAATGTGTTCATTGCGTCTCAGCTCCAAAACCTCACTTTATTTAGAATGACATTATTGTAAGATTTTTAAAAGTCACTTTAATATGCATGTAAAAATCCAAATCAAGAAGTCAACAGATTTTGAATCCAGATTTTAGAAGCAATATTCTCCAGCTGCTTTGAATTTGCCTAGCAGTTGATAAATTTTGAAACTGTCATGAGATACAGGTCTTCAAAGGCTGTGAGATATGGCCCAAGTGCCTAGCATCGAGCCCAGTACACAGCAGGTGCTCAAAAAATGTTTGTTGAATTAATGAATCAGCACAAGATGCACCATCAATTTCATAACATATTCTTGGGGGGCTTCCCTGATGGGGAAGAATCTGCAGTGGTTAAGAATCTGCCTGCCAATACAGGGGACACAGGTTTGATCCCTGGTCCAGGAAGATCCCATGTGCCACAGAGCAACTCAGCCTGTGTGCCACAACTACTGAAGCCCGTGTGCCTAGAGCCTGTGCTCTGAAACAAGAGAAGCCAGCGCAATGAGAAGCCCATGCACTGCAATGAAGAGTAGCCCTAGCTCGCTGCAATTAGAGAAAGCCCGTGTATAGCAACGAAGACCCAACGCCTCCAAAAAAATAAATAAATAACATATTCTTGGGAAAAAAGAAACCTTAAAGTAAATGTACCCATTGACTGAAAGATGTACAATGATTTAATTTTTAAAAATATTTATTTATTTATTTGGTTGCCCTGGGTCTTAGTTGTGGCAGGTGGGCTCCTTACTTGCGGTTCTAGGGCTCTTTAGTTGTGGCTCGCCAGCTCCTTAGTTGTGGCATGTGAACTCTTAGTTGCGGCACGCGTGTGGGATCTAGTTCCCTGACCAGGGATCGAACCCAGGCCCCCTGCATTGGGAGCATGGAGTCTTATCCATTGCATCACCAGGGATGATTTTTAAAATGTGAAAAAAACTGATTAAGAATCTACGGAGGGGGCTTCCCTGGTGGCGCAGTGGTTTAGTCTGCCTGCCGATGCAGGGGACGCGGGTTCGTGCCCCGGTCCGGAAAGATCCCACATGCCGCAGAGCGGCTGGGCCCGTGAGCCATAGCCGCTGAGCCTGCGCGTCCGGAGCCTGTGCTCCGCAACAGGAGAGGCCACAACAGTGAGAGGCCCCCGTACCGCAAAAATTAAAAAAAAAAAAAAAAAGAATCTAGGGAGGGACTTCTCTGGTGGTCCAGTGGTAAAGAATCCACCTTCCAATGCAGGGGACACGGGTTCGCTCCCTGGTCGAGGAACTAAGATCCCACATGCCGCGGGGCAACTAAGCCCACGTGACACAACTACTGAGCCTGCACACCTCAACTAGAGAGACTGCGTGATGCAAACTACAGAGCCCACGTGCTCTGGAGCCCACACACCACAACTAAAGAGAGAAAACCCGCATGCCACAAGTAGAGAGAAGCCTGTGTGCTGCAACAAAAGACCCAGCATGCTGCAACAAATATCCTGTGTGCCGCAACTAAGACACTATGCAGCCAAAAATAGTAACATAAATAAATAATAAAATAAATAAATATTAAATGTATGTTTAAAAAAAAAGAATCTAGGGAAAGCAGTAGTTGCTCTAGGAGAGGCAAGTATAAATGCATTGGAAGTCTGAAGGACAAAGAGTTTAATTTCAGACACAGGGACCAGATAATTTTTTTACTATAATTATCTGGAGGCACTGTTAGGATGGGCTCTTTTTTGAGAGCTCCAGAATTCCTGAGTAGGAGTGGCTTGGAGGAAACAATCTGGTTGGGAAGAGGATGACGGAGCAGCTAAGGGACTTGTTCTAAAAATGCATTTGTTTAGCGAGCATGCTGATTTCTTCAGATTGTATGTTTATTATCTGGAGGGCCTGGATAGGACTGGAGGTGAGGAGGGGTTGATGGTGAGTATGTAGAATTTAAAATTTTCCATTTTAGGCATATAGGAATTTATGTCTAGATCTGTATCTTTATCTGTCTACTCTCTGTCTACTTGTCTATCTCTCTTTTGCTTTCTTTTAGTGAAAGCAATAGACTCAAGTTATCTGTCTTTATTGAAAATAATCAATATTTATATTTATTCTATACTATTATACTTCATCATCCTCTTCCATATTCAGGGAATTTCCTGAGTGAGCATCTTTGTCTTCTCCATCTCCATACCCACAGCATTAGTTAGCACAGAGCCTGGCTTTCAGTAGGTGTGAAATAAAGTTATTTATTGAAAGGAATGCCCTTGAAAAGCATAGATGGTATGGTTAATTCTTTTCAGCATGATCACATATCAGGTCATCTTTCATTTTGTAGACAGAATGATGAAGCAAGATTAGAGGCCCAACTTAGAGTCATAAATAAAAGTCAGAAGAAAACCTGAGCAAGAATCCAGAGGATTCAAGTCCCAGTAGTGTATTTTGCATCATATTATCCAAGTTCCAGCAAAAATCACATGGATATTCCTTGCATATGAATATGTCCTTTGTGGGAATTGGGACCGTTTTATTATTATGTCAAACCTTTAAAAGTCAGACATGCACTTTAAATTGATTTTTGGGGGTAGGTTTTGACCTCTCTTGTTACTACTGTCACATGCATGTGCAAGACAGCTGATGGGAGAGGATGTGTACTTGCCTCCAAGTAATTACATGCTACGGAGCCTCATCATTTCTGGTTCTTTAATCCAAATTTCTTAACCAATCAAATTGGATCTTTAGTACAGCCATTCTAATTCTATAGCTTCAAAACAAAGTCATTTTTAAAAATATTTATTTATTTATTTTTGCTGCGTTGTGTCTTTGTTTCTGTGCGAGGGTTTTCTCTAGTTGTGGCAAGCGGGGGCCACTCTTCATTGCGGTGCGCGGGCCTCTCACTATCGCGACCTCTCTTGTTGCGGAGCACAGGCTCCAGACGCGCAGGCTCAGTAGTTGTGGCTCACAGGCTTAGTTGCTCCGCGGCATGTGGGATCCTCCCAGACCAGGGCTCGAACCCGTGTCCCCTGCATTAGCAGGCAGATTCTCGACCACTGCGCCACCAGGGAAGCCCAACAAAGTCATTTTTAAGCTATTTGAACTTAAAATATTTGGAAAAAAAATCTGAACGATTTCTGAAAGCACAAAGCAGGTTTTTTCTTCAAACTCAAGTAACTGAAATAACTGAAGATATTTAGTTCAAATTGCAAATAAATTCACCTTTGGATTGAGACAAGGCAAGAGAAATATCAGACCCAAAGGTCAAAAGGAACATTTTGGAGTAAGTTATAAACAGAAAATAGGGATTTAGAATGGAAAAGATGAACTCAACAATAAGATGGGGTCATGACACCTTGGTAAGTATTTTTTATTATTTTTAAAAACTCACTGTGCTAACTCAGGACTTTATTTTCACTGACTCTAATTGAGAATATTTTAGTGATTTTGTGTGTGTGTGTGTGTGTGTGTGTGTGTGTGTGTTTAAAGGACCAGGAAATGATACTCTGTACTTTGTTATGTCTTGGTTCAGAGAAATTTAAAGCATATAGAAATCTTGGGCTAGATCTCTTCTCCATTCCCTGACTCTCCCTAGAACACTTATGCCAAAAATTACCATTCTCTGTGGTATCAGATTCTCAGGGAGAAGTAATTGTTTAGAGGAATTCATTTTTCAAATGCCCAAATTTCACCAGATTCAAATAGTGCTGATGTAAATAAATAAAAATTGTAAACTTGAAAAGTGGATAAGATTATTAGATGTGCCTGTCGATAGGTAATTAGCACAAGCACATTTGTGATTTATTGGAAAGTTCAAGGGCAACTGGAATGACTTCTGTTATTCTGCAGTTGCACGTTGGAGTTAAATCCTGTGTTTTCTGGAGCTGCAAAAGTCTGTAGTATGATATTCATCATCATTTTAAATGTGTTTATTGAGTGGGAGGTCTCTAATTAG